CTCATCTTCTGGCACTATACCAATGTTCCACTGCTGTTCATAAGGCTTTCACTGGCCAGTTTTTTTTAGAAATAGATCACAAGGCCCTTCTTCCTAGCCTGTGTTAGTCTGGAAGCTCCGCTGAAACCTGTCCATCATGGGTGACCCTGCTGGTACTTGAAATACCAGTGACATAGCTTTCAGCATCATAGCAACACACAAGCCCCCACAGTACGACAAGCTGACAGACGAGTGGTGGATATATATATACATAATTATATATGTACATATGTGTGTGCATGTGTATATATATGCATATATATGCTTACATATGTATTTTACATAACCCGTTGCCATTGAGTTAATTCCAACTCATAGCGACCCTACAGAACAGAGCAGAACTGCCCCATTGGGTTTTCAAGAAGCCGCTGGTGGATTTGAACGGCCGATCTTTTGGTTAGCCCCTGAGCTCTTAACCACTGTGCCACCAGGGCCCTGTATATACATATGTATGTATAAGAATATTGTTTATTATTTCCTTTATATATATACACACACACATATATAAAGGAAATAATGAACAATATATAGCTACCTTAGGCAAAATTTGAAAAAAAAAAGAAAAAAGGTGAAGACTCCATTGTTTACCTTGTCACTTAAGCAAGGCAATTTGGAAAAATATAAGAGACAGTGAGATGAAGGCAAGTGAGCCATCATTTGCACCACATCTGTTTTGTTTACCACGTTATAGCCAGATGTTGACACAATGACTAGCACAAACTAAATGTTCAACAAATTATTTGTTGAAGGAAAATGTGACTGTTGCTTGAAGGTAGTTGAGGACAGAAGGTGGGTCTTCTTTGTTCTTTTTTTTTATGAGTTTTAATAATTTCACTTCCTAAGGTGCAAATTTTCTTCAGGGCAGTCTTGTCCTACTCTTTCCTTTTCTCTTTTTCTCCCTCTTTTTTACCCCTTATTCCTTGAAGTGTAAAGTTGCTGATTGTTAATGTTTTGTTGTGTTAAGCAGGTCTGTATGTAACAGAGGGCTGACATAAGTGATGAAAATAAATTGTTGTCCCCTCCATTTCTTTCAGAAGTTCTCAGATGATAAATTAGCCACCTCAGAGAATTATTTGATACCACGGTCATTGGGTGAAATAGATAGAGTGAAGGTATCCACCAGAGAGTTCTTTATCATTTTAACAGGAGTTCTTAAGCATAAATCTACAAGTAGGGTTAGCTCTTCTGAGCCACAAGAAATTGCGTGCAAATTATGTATGTATATGCAGATTTGCATGTATATGCAGATTTGATATGTATATGCATATATGTGTAATGATTGAGGGAAGAGAATTCTTCCAAAACTTTTATTAGTCTCAGAGGAATCCAAACGTCAAACAGGGAACCACTGAGTTAGAAGACGTATTTTATAGATCGTTATTTCGTTTTGCTTTAGAGTTTTGGGTAGGAAAATTCTGAAAAACTTGAGAGGAGAGTGAATAGTATATAGAATCAAACTTTTCCAGATCTAGAATCAATTCAAAGGCCTTCCGTGAATTTTGATACCTCTTTTTGAACTTATTTAGCCACTGTTTTCATGCATTCAGAGTCAGAGTCTGGGATGCTTAACTCCCTGTTATTACCTCTGGCAATTGAAATACCCAGGCAGACTGATGTCATTTGTTCGCAGAACAGCGTTAGAGCCCTTCTGGGCAAATTCTCTGATAAGTCATTTAGCAGGTACAAAGAAGATGATATTTTATGGTACAATGAGCCATCCTTGCATAGTTTATTTATTTCTAACTGAGCTTATGATAAGCAAAAAAAAAAAAAAAAAGAAAGGTAGCCTTCCAAACACCATGAAACTCTTTAAAGTCTGCGTTTTATTTTTCTTTAAATTCCTGTATACTTTGTCTGATTTGTCTTTTGTTGGATTTGAACCTTTGTCTCTTCCTGTGTTCCTCTTACTTAACCCTGGGCTCTGGTTAAACAATTTGCATGTTTGAGTCAAACACCAATTTTATTTATTTTTGTGATACTTCTGTATGCTCCCAGATACTTAATTGAGTAACTTGGTTTATGATCTCCAGTTTTCGTCTTCGTGTCGTAGCAAATTCTCAACTTAAATAGCTACTGCTGCTGTTGTTGTTATTGTCAATAGAGCCTCCTGCATTGTTCCCAGCAGTATTTTAATTAATACAGGATTTCCACACAATTTATCAATTGATTGCTTCATTCACAAAACATTCATAGAACACCTGCTATGTGCCAGGTGCTCTTCCAGTTGCAGGAGAAACAGAAATGTGAATGTTATACGTATTGTGCCAGGCTAAGCATACGGCCACCCAGGCAGGCCAAAGATTTAAGAGTCTTTAAGTCTACAATCTTTCAATAAATGGGTTCACTGTATATTTAGAGCAATGGTTCTCATTTGGAGTGGTTTTGCTCTCCAGGGGACATTGGCAATTCTAAATGCATTTTGGTTGTCACAAATCAGGGGGTGCTACTAGTATCTACTCTTAAATGTTAGGCAATACAAAAGACAGCCCCCCCACCAGAGGAAAGAATTATTTGGACCAAATGCAAATAGCGCCGAAATTGAGCAGCCCTGATTTAGAGGAAGGAATATTCATTTAGATGGACGCTTACTGTGGTGGGTGGAAAGGGTGGAGGAGGCTGTGGAGGCAGTTATCTCACCTCTGAGATCCTAAACAAGTCAGCTCTTACTGATTTGATCCACCCAGAACCAGGGGACCTTCTGAAGGATGAAATTTTCTTCAGCTCCATTTCCAGGGATGAATTTAATAGTCCTCAAAGATTGGCATCTTAGTGGCTTCCCAATTTCTTGTCATTTAATCTACCTCTGCCTCTTCTTAAGGAGCTACAGTTTTGGGAGAAAGAAGGACAGGTGTACCAAAAACTATGATGCTATGTGATGTATACCAAGAGCACACAATGATATTAATGCTGTTGCCTGATTAGGGTCCGTGTGCTGGAGCAGTGGAGCCAATGAAACATACTCCAGGTCAGAGAGAGAGAAAGTTTATTAGGAGGTGACACCAGCTGGAAGTCCGGCAGCATCACAGGCTGTCTATATGGAGTCCTGAAAGGCAGTTTTACATTAGAGCTTATATATGATTTTTACAAGGGTTAGAAGTGTCTTTTTAGCACGTAGCCGGCAGATGGCATGGCTGGATAAGTCATTCATTACAAGATAATTACAAGAGACTCTTGATTAGACTAAAGAGATCCATGTCGGACATCTCCTTATCAGGCTAAAGATTTACAGTCCAGACATCTGGGCTCAGATCTTTATGTGAGGGGTTGTAAGTCACAGGTAGCCAGACAGAACAAACCAAGTCATTAACAAAGGTATATGGAAAGGAGAAGTCAGGCAGAAAAAAGACTTATAGGTTCTTCATGGCATTCGTTATGTCAAGCTCTCAATCACCCATCTTGAAAAAGGAGAAAACATGCTGTGGCGTATTAGGGTCACAATGCTTTGGGAGTACTGAGTGATTAATCTCCACCTGGGAGGTCCGGGAAGGGTTCACAGATGAGGTGGCATTTATATAGGGACTTTGAAGTAGGTATTTGCCATATGGCTGAAAGAAGACTCTTTCCTTTTTTAAGCCATCTGCTAGCATGATTGCATTTATAATTGGCGTGCAAGGTGGTTTTGGTTGCTCTTTCTGGAAGACCTGCTTCTGTATTGCACTGTGTTGAGCAAGACTTCTTTAAAAATTGTTCAGGCCCAACTAGGGATCTCTGCTTTCACCATCTTCTTTCTATTAAGGATTTCAGCAGCAGGTGGTTTTAACTGCGTAGTTGTAGCTATTAGAGGTTAGCAGTTGTTCAGAGTGGTAAACTTGAAGCAAATGAATTACAGGTTTGGTTTGGTTTGGTTTTCTAAATTTTTATTTAGTTATGTTATTTACCTTTTTGCTCACTCACTCACTCACTCCTCTTGATGCTCCTAGTAGATTTTTCTCCAGGTTTGTGGCCTTAGCCAGCTTGAAAATATATGGAGAGTATGCTTCACAATCCATGTAGGCATTTATCAATGCTTTTCAAATACAGTCCCTGTTTTAACACCTGGTATGTCCTGTAGGAAAATATTTGTGGCTCATTGACTACAAATTCCTCATAAACTAGTGTGACAACATAAAATATATTTGTGAAGCTATTAATGGAAAATTGTGATGGCTAGGTACTCACAGAAGAATGGAATAATTATTAAATATATGATACAGTAGAATAGTGACATCTTTGTGATATAACCACCAAGAAGTTACAGAATTTCTTTTTACTCCCTAGACATCATATGCTGATTTAAGATGCCCGCACATTTTGGGAAATTTTTTCTTATAGTTCAGAATCAGTTATGATATCGCAGAAGTAGTTTTGTACACTTGTACCTAACTTTTAAAGAATTTGTCCTTTCCCTGGTAACTTTACAAAGATCATTTATTAGTGTTTTCATGTTAGAAATAAAACAGTTCAATTAAAAATTCTCAGTTTTAGTTTCATTTTAGTTTAGACTAGAAACTGGGTAGTATTAAAATGCTGTTAGTTTCTAAAACCGAACAATAGTTGTTTAACTAGTAAAAAAAGGTCTGCCTTGAACATTATGCCTTTTTAAGAACTATCTGTATGGGATCAAATTGACAACAGCACCTCGAAAGATTAGATAGGAACCTTAGGGGGCACTGAGTTTATGTTAATGAGGGAGGAACAACTCAGAAAAGGAGGGTGAGAATGGTTACACAACTCAAAGAATGTAATCAGGGTCACCAAATTGTACATGTAGAAACTGTTAAAAAAAAAAAGAGAGAGAGAAAGAGAATGTTGACATATTGTGATAAATGTAACTAATGTCACTGAACAATTTGGGCGGAAATTGTCAAATGGGAGCCTAACTTGCTGTGTAAACTTTCACCAAAAATTCAATAAAATATTATTTTTTTAAGGAATACTGTTAGTTTCATTTTCCATCAAAATGTTTTTCTTTTTTGTTTTAGTCTGATGCCAATGCAAGTTACTTGAGAGCAGCTCGAGCTGGACACTTAGAAAAGGCCCTTGACTACATAAAAAACGGGGTTGACATCAACATTTGCAATCAGGTTAGTTGTTATTGTTTAACTTATCAGTTAAATTTTCAAAAATCCAGATTTCAAATTCTTTAAAGTTTTATTAAATATTACCAACACTTTCTCTTTTTTACCAGTTTTTTCTGTTAAATTTTACCAGCTTGACATTCTCAAATTATTCTCTGCTTAATTAGAAGAATATTCTGAAATGTAGTTATATGTCCTTTAACAATTAATTCCTAAAATTTGGTAAATGATGATATAATGATAACCAATCTAGTGTTCAAGTACTTTTATTCCTAATTCAAGTTCCTGCAAGGAATTGTTGGTGGGATGTCATCCTCAGAGTTCTTGGTAGGCTGTTTATTGCTATATTTTCATTCTGCTAAGTAAAGTTTTCCCTTCACTTTTAATCAGAATGGGTTGAACGCTCTCCATCTTGCTTCCAAAGAAGGCCATGTAGAAGTTGTTTCTGAACTACTACAGAGAGAAGCCAATGTGGATGCAGCTACAAAGGTCAGTATTACATATTTAACTCCTTCTAATATACTACTTGCCAAATTCAATGATGATTCAACCTTGAATAAGAATTAGGATAAATTTCTCATGAGGTACTTGCCAACTTTGTTCTATTTGGGGAATTTTTAAATAGAGTTGTTGTTGGGGGCTGCCATTGAGCCAGTTCAGACTCGTGGTGACCCCATGTGTGTTAGAGAAGAACTGTACTCCACAGGTTTAAATATAGAAGGACTAGATATTTTTTAAAATGTCAAAACAGAGAAGAAGGTGAATGAGTTGATGTCTTAGTTATCTAGTGCTGATATTACGTAAATACCACAAGTGGATGGCTTTAACAAAGAGAAATTTATTCTCTCACAGTCTAGGAGGTTAGATGTCCAAATTCAGGGCGCCAGCTCCAGGGAAAGGCTTTCTCTCTCTCTGTTGGCTTTGGGGGGGAAGGCCTTTGTCATCAATCTTCCCCTAGTCTAGGAGCTTCTCAGCACAGGAACCCCATATCCAAAGGATGCGCTGTGCTCCCAGCAATGCTTTCTTGGTAGTATGAGGTCACCCTATCTCTCTTGTCGCTTCTCTCTTTTATATCTCAAAAGAGATTGACTTAAGACGCAGTCTAATCTTGTAGATTGAGTCCTGCCTTATTAACATAACTGCTGCTAATCCCACCTGATTAACATCATAGAGGTAGAATTTACAGCCCATAGGAAAAATCACATCGGATGACAAAATGGTGGACAGTCACACAATACTGGGCATCATGGACTAGCCAAATTGACACACAAATTTTGGGGGAAAACAGTTCAATCCATAAAAATTGATGTATCTTACTTTTCATTTTACAGAAAGGAAACACAGCATTGCACATAGCATCATTGGCAGGACAAGCTGAAGTAGTAAAGGTCTTGGTTACAAATGGAGCCAATGTCAATGCTCAATCTCAGGTAATCCTATGATTATTGCAAAGAAATTTTGTTATCATAATTTACAGATAATTTTCTTTGGGTTAGGGGCTTGTTTGGTTCATATATCCTCTAGTAATACAATATGTAAGCGCTGTATTCAAAGAACAATTATATAATTGCAGATTAGTTAACTTCATATGCATCCTCATTCTCAGTATACATGAGGGAAGTAGTGGTGGTGTTTTCGTCCTCTGTCTATGAAACTGTATGACTGGTAGTCGCAGACACAGGTGTTTCGAGGATATCAACAATTCAGAGTCTTACACTATTTTATAATGCTAGCTCATGTCCAGTCTCACTATTTGTTAGCTTACTAAGGAAATGGGGATGTCTATAAATTAGGAAATACTCTTAGAAGTTCAGTGTCTCTCAACTGCTTTCTCTCTTTTTCAAAAGGGAAGAAACTGCTTAATTCCTGTTTACTAAGTAAGGCATCATTGTTTTTCTCTGAAACAGATTTAATATATACATGTATATGTATATATGTATATATCAGTATGTATACATACATGCACACATACATACATATATATGCAAATAAACTTTAAAAGTCCGCAAGCTTTACAATTTCCAGATTCTTTATAATGGATACACACTAAAAATTCATTCATTGGGTCCTCTTATAAGCTCATAAAGTCTTACATGAAGTTCTAAGAACACAAATAGATTATCATTTAAGAGACTTTGATCCTAAAACAACTCCACTTTATTAGTTTAAAAATAAAGTCTTCATTATCCAAGTATTCATTATTTCAGTCTCCACAGACATGAGGTTGTCTCAGAAAGCAAACAGCATCATAACACAAAAGTACTCACTAAGGAACTGACCACTTTCAAAACTGGTCACCACTGAAGCATTCCTTCCAACTGTATGCTGACAGCTATCCTTGTTGGTCAGTTTCAATATCCAGGGTGTTGAATATTGAACAAACAGATTACAGAACAAAACTTCAAGTCTTGCATAAGATGCAGGATTTCATGAAGTCAAGGGGAGTGATGCTAGAGAATTGCTGGGTACACAGCCAAACTCTGGGTAGGTGACTTTCTGGCAGCATTGAGAGACCAGGCAGCACTGGAAGAACTGAGGATGATATCCTGATAGATGTTTCAAACAAGAATGATACGAAAATCAAAAGATGAAATTAAGGGGAAAAAAAAAGATTAAATGAGGCCTTTGGTTCAGTTAATGACATGATCACATACTTTTTGCAAAAAGACTACCTTCTTTCTTATGCTGTGAATATCAGAAGTAAAGTGAAGGATGTCAGGGTATGATATAATTTTTTTTTTTTAAGCTACACATTTTCTCCACAAAAGCACACTTGGAAGGATGCCCTTTATCACCACTCCTACATTGTGCTGGAAGTTCTAGCTAGAGCAATAAGGCAAGAAAAAGAAATAAAGGGCATCCAAATTGGTAATGAAGAAGTTCAACTGTCCCTGTTT